CTGAGTGAAGACAAAAATGTGTGAGCCGGAGGCTAAAAAACTGTGAGCTAGCTCACACTAACTCAGCTTAGAGGGAACACTGGTCATGTCTACAAACTGGCTTTTTGGCCAAGTGAAACTCTTGACAGGAATCGCAGGAGTCAGATGTAGTTGAGAAACTGGCCTTTGCTTCTGGTGGGCATGCCAACTCTGTCTGTCTGGCCAGAGAAAGCTCTGCCACTGCTTCCAGACCTAACTCTGAAGGATTTCCCTTGCAGCCCCTCCGCCGCCTCCCCCCATCATCCGGAACGGTGGTAGAGATGCGCCTCCCCCTCCCCCGCCCTACAGAATGCACGGGTCTTCAGATCCCATGAGCCGCGGGAAACCGCCCCCACCGCCTGCCAGGACGCCGGTCGGGCCGCCACCTCCGCCTCCACCAATGAGAAATGGGCACCGGGACTCAATCTCCACTGTCAGGTCTTTCTTGGGTGAGTACAAAGAACTTGCTGTTTTTCCTAGTCGGAGCCGGCATGACATTTAAATTGTCTGGAAGGGGTGCTCTGGGTTCTAAAAAAGCAAATCCCATTTGAAGCGGAGCACCATTAATAGATGTTTGAGTTCAGCTGAGCCTGTGGAAATGCTGTGATTGGACAAAGGTGCGGATAGGTGGAAGGATCAGGGAAGTCGATGCAAACGGTAATCACCATTAGGACCGTTCAAAATCCAAAGGCATTTTCTTTCTTCAGGTGTCTGGCATTTTTTTAAAAAAGGCTCAGTAGTTTGAAATCTGCATCCTAAAGCAAGAACAGCCCTACTAAATTTTAATTAAGGCCTAGCTAAAACCATTTCCTGTATGTATAATGAAGACGATGTCCGGGTTGCTCTCTTCTGTCACGTTAATGTTTGTATCTGCAGTGTGTTAAGTGTGCTTGTGCAGTATTCACCTTGGAATATGTCAGGCGCTTTGTATTGGGTTAAACGTAAAAAGAAAAACCAATTGCCTTGGAAGCACGGAAGCTTTACACTGTGATCGTCTGATCCTCCACATTTCCCGGTTAAGGGGAAAATGCTGTTCAGACAAATTACAAAGATGATCTGACTCCAACGGTAACAAGAGAAAGAAATTTTATGTGCAAAAATAGAAACACATCCTGTTCATATTCATGTAGGTCCATTCATGGATCATTTAGTAGAAAAAGAGGTGCAGGAGCTCATTAGCATAACTTATTTGCATATGCCACACCCCCTGACACCACCGGAAGTGTGTCAGAAGGCAACACCCACCACTGGACTGTTTTGGATTGCTAGCTATTGCGGGGGGGGGGGGGGGGGGGCGGGGATCTGTCCTCGCAGAGGAGGGAGAGCTTGTACCGGAATAAAACTTGGTCTTAAAGGTGCCACTGGACTGTTTTGGGCCGGGGGAGCTCTGCAACTTACCTGGCTGCTTCTTGCTCTGACTGAGGGCTGCTGGGAGCAGGGGGTGGGGCTTGTTGCATGTGCCTGCCCCCTGGGCTCTTTACTGCCGGAGCTCCGCTCCTGTGCGCTCCTGTAGGAAATGACCCCTGGGTACATTTAACTTATTGTGAACAGATTAACTTCAAAAAGGTCAAGCCCAGGTAAGAGAGAGAAGACGCGCGGTCCTGTATAAGATGAAACAGAAGGCAAAGGCCAAATAGGCTCAGCATCTAAGCAATGAGAGGGTGGGGCCGACTGCTAAGTGTGCCCCAGTGACAAAATTCTCTTAACCCTTTCTCTCCCAGGTCCTCTCGCATGCAGAGTTACAGTATCCAACACTTTAAACCACCATTCTGGGGTTGGAAAGGAGGGGTATAATTTTTAATAAATAATACATTTCCTATCACACCTAAACTACTTTACTTATTTAACAACGTAAAATGCGATGTTGATAGCAAGTACACCCAACCCTTGAGAGAGCTGCAAATTGCTGCACGTGGTGCTACCAGCGATCATAATTTCTGCCATCTGAGAGGTAGGGAAAAAACGAAAGATGACTGTAGAAAACAAATTCTGTGGTGAACAAAGGGAAGTGTTTTTGCACAGAGACATTTTCAGACCGTCACAGCAGGCTGGGCTACCAGCACATTTGGATACTGAATTAAACTTGACTGCATTGAAAATACTTTAATACTCTCAATGTATTATCAGTAAGAACATCAGAGATATTAATTGTTCTAAATTACTTCCATTTAATTTTTTTTTAAATGGCAAAAATCATTATTTACCATTGTATATTGTCCTGCACAAAAGTTTGCCTACTACACATTTTGAGTAAAACCTTAGAAAGCATTTCAGTCATCCCAAAAAAAGAACGCTTCAGAGGAGGTTTTTTAGTGTTCTCTCAAATTTCTGAATTTTTCCTATTAGAAAAATGAGGGGCATCTTTGGGGAAACGGGAGGGGGGGTAATTTCTTTCTGGAATTTTTCCTTTTGTTCCTGGGCCTTTACATCAGTGTTCCAGGTAGACTTTAAAAAAAAAAATTGCACAGAATGCTTAGGTTGGTAGCTGCTTACACAAAACAATGAGGCACTGGATGTATGTTTTTGGAATGTGTATTTGTGTGTGTGTGTGTGTCCTCCACCCACCTCTTGAAACATCAGGACCCAAGGCAGATAACAGTAAATGCAATACAAAAATAATTAGAACAGACAAAACAAATGAACCTCAAGCCTGCTCAAAGTGCCGCAGAAGTTCTTTTAAATTGTTCTGTTGCAAGAGAAGAGGTGAATGGCAAGGGGCTACCGCTAGTCCGTTTCTAGATGGGAACCTATCGGAATGTGTGAGGCAGTGCTCCCTCTAAGCTGTGGAGTCATGTGAGCAAAAATCCTACTTTGTGAGCTACGGGCATTAAAGTTGCCACTTGCGAGCGAGCGATTTGGCTACTGCATAGATTAGTTTACTTTGGAGCCATCCTTCCTGAGCTCAGACAAAAATCTGTGAGCTGGAGGCTAGAATACTGTGAGCTCGCTCACACTAACTCAGCTTAGAGGGAATACTGGACAAAAGAGGATTTATCCCAGCAAAACTGGAGTGAGGGCTCAGGGTGACATCTGTAAACTTCTGTTCAGATGGACAAGGGACTCGAGTCCAAGTGAAGATGGAGGGGAACGAACGCTGTATTTCCAAAGGCTCCAAGCAGGTTTAGATAGGATAACAAAGGCTGTAACAAATCAGAATAATTGGAGATAGATTGAGGAGAATCAGGGTTATGGGGAAGCAGTCCTAGCACGATTCCTGTATATTTCCTGCAGCTCACCAACACCACTACTGGGTTCTGGCCTCTACTCAGTAGTTACCTCCATGGGGCCGTGCCTGCCTCAAAGAAGAAGGGGAAAGGAGGACAAGAAGTAAGCAAAGGAGGGGAAGGAGAGGAGGCAGGAGGATTTACTGCCTGTCCTTTGCTGTATGGGGGAATCACCTGAGGTGTTCTAGTTCCATCGGTCCTCCGACTGGCCCACCAGCTGCGGCATGGAGCGGGGAGGCCCAAGGAAAAGTGCACGGCAGTTGGGGGGGGGGTGTCTGGTGGGTGATCCAGCTGCAATTCCAGGCTGTGAATTGAAACTGGAAGTGAGGCTGGGCCCGAGGCCTGATAGAAGTCCTCCAGGGGCCTGATCCGGCCCCAAGGCCACATATTTGACACGCCTGCTTTAGGGTGCTTTAGGGTGCTTGGAATATCCATCCGGCTGTCCCCAGACAGCAAGGGGAAGGTGCAGATTTAATCATCATTCCAGGCCCTGTCCCAGAGCCTTGAGGACAAGAACAGTATAGAATCACACAAAATCCTTTTAACAGGCCAGGCTGCCCGCCGCCTGCCACCTTGACAAGAACCGTTTTTTCCCTCCTACAGATGACTTTGAATCCAAATATTCCTTCCATCCAGTTGAAGATTTCCCAGCCCCAGAAGAGTTCAAGCACTTCCAGAGGATTTATCCCAGCAAAACAAACAGAGGTGAGCACTGGTTAAGGTTAACTCTTGTTTGTTTAGCTTTGTTGGGTGGCGGAAGCCACCTCGCTGTTTAGCCACCCTGCTTAAGAATTGACGGGTGGTGGCAGGGAGAGGTAAGCCACTGAGCCTAGTTGCTAGCCCATACATGCTGGACACTCTTTGCCGCCTGTTTCGTTCAGTTTCCAGCCACCCTCAGATAAGGCTCATGTTGGCCACGTACTGTCTTTCTCGAGTTTCCCCAGTCTCAGGTTGCTTTGGCAAGGAAAAGGAGGGTAGGTATGGGGGGGGGGGAGAACATTCAGCATGCCAGTGTTGCAGGGGGAGGGGCAGCGGCAGCAACAGGGATTCATAGCTTTTTGCAGCAAAGGATGGGTCGGAAGAAGTTGTCAAATGCAGAAAAGTTTCACCATGGGCGGGAATAGCATCAGAAGGTGGAAGGGCTCAGATTAGGGTTGCCAACCACCAGGTGGGGTCTGGAGACCTCCTGCTATTACACTTGATTCTCCAGACAACCCAGATTAAGTTCCCCCAGCTAAAATGGGTTGCTTCGCAGAGTGGACTGTGTGGCATTATACCCTGATGGGGTCCCTACCCAAGCCCCACCCTCCCCAGACTCCGCCTCCCAAATCTACAGGTATTTCCTGACCCAGAGCCGGCAACCGTAACTGAGATGTATTTGGGATTTTTGTTCAGCATTAACCTGGTCTGCATCTGGCTGTTGTCGAGGGTTATGTTCTGCTTCGAGGGCCTGAGCAGGGTCCCTGTGGAATACGGTCTCCCGCGCCCCACTTGGCCATTAACACCTGCTGTTGTCTTTTTCAGCGACTCGTGGGGCCCCGCCTCTGCCTCCCATCCCCAGGTGAAAAGCAGCAGCTGGGCATCGCCGCGTGGTGCCAAAACAAACGGACATGTTTTCCTCCTCTCGGGTTCTCCTCCTCCTCGTCCCGAGAAACCTGCATGACAAACACACTCCTGCCGTTCATTTTTGTTTCCCTCCCTCAACAACCATTGCAAGAACCGGGCGAGTCTACCACCTCTCACCTCCACCTATGCATTTCACACCCGGACTTGAAACAGACGTCTAGGTACTGACAGCTGGGTGAGATCTCTCCTCTGCAGATCAGAGTTCGTTTTCTTGTTTTTTCCACTGCTCATGTCATGTAGGGAAGGTTCACAGACTGCAGCTGCCGGAGAATAAGGGCATGAGGGAGCGTTTCCCAGAAAAGCAAGCTAAACCTAGTTTTGAAATTGTGGGCCAGGTTGGGATGACGGCTCCTAGACTTTTTTTTTTTTTTTTTGCACCTGCGGTGGGAAAAGCAAATGGCTGTGAATTGGGCGGAAGGGGGAGTTTCTGATTTTATTTCGAAGAGGTGCAGCGTTAAATAAACGGTATAATACGTTAAGAGCTGAGTGCTCTAAATCAGACACTACAGATGCAGACACTACATAACTTTACTAACTTGTTAAGCTGTATAACTTGAAAAAGAGAGGACAGGAAAGGGGTACCGGCCACTGGAGCAAAGTGAGTAGGGGAAGAACACAACTGTGGCTGAGGCAGCAAGAGAACTTTGGGGTCCTCTTTCTCTTGAGTGACAGCTCCCCCTCCCCCGATGGCTTAGGGCATCCCTGTTCCAATCCCTGGGACTGCTCTAGCAATCTTGCAGCGTGTGTGGAAGGTCAAAGTTCCGCCTGCGAACAGAGTATTGGGCCTGCAGCCCATTCCCTGAAACGTGTCTAGTTAATTAATAGACACCGGGATGTGAGCCACCCACCCTTGGAAGCAGCAGAGGAAAAGGGGCAGCAGCTGGCTGATTGCCAGAGTGTAGCAGCGTTGAAGGGTGACTCGCGGGTACAGATTCTGCAGCAGTGCCAGGCGAAAGTGGGGTTTAGGGCTGGAATGGGCCCTTGCGGGGTCTGCCCCTGCCCCTTCCTCAGAAGTTCCCATCTTGCTGTGCCCAGGAGTGGTGGCACAGACTGGGCGTGGCTCTCTAGTGGTGTATGTGGCCACTGCATGGGGTAGGCTTATGTGGGTCTTTATCCCCCCCCCCCATCCGCACACACTTGCTATCTCCCCTTTGTGCTGAGGTGTGGACTGACATGACTGTTCATCTACCCCGAAGAGGATTTCTGTGACGCATTGAAAGATGGTCAGATTAAAAAGTCTTCTGCTTGGGTTATTAGCGGCTAACTGCCCTTGCGCCCCCCCCCCAAAAAAAATCAGGGTTCGATTATTTTTAAAAATGGTTTAATATGCTTAAATGATTACATTAGCTATTGGGGGAGACAGAGGTATGGCGTGTGCTTTATTTGTGTGTGTGGGGGTCAGTTGTGTACAGTTCACAGTGTGTTGACAGTGACTCTTACACCGGGGGGGGGGGGGGGCCGCCTTCCACTACAGGGTTGCTGTTGGAGACCAGTGGGGCTGTGTCCCCACTTAACCTTTTCTCAGTACGGGGTGGGTGTTCCAGCGGCAGGTGGCGCATGCACTTGTCAATGCAATAATTTGGAGTACTGAAAACAGACCTGTTGGGGACCATTCCGTTGTTCCACGTGCCCCCCAGGTCTCTGTGCATGCAAAGCATGCTGGGAAAATCACCGCCTGATTGTTTTCCATCACCCCATTCCAGGCCAGAGTCCCGTAAATCTGACCTTGGTGCAGAAGTGGAATTCTTTCCCCTCCTTCCTTTCCTGTCAGCCTCTTGTTCAGGCCCTCTGCAGACAATTACACGACACCACAACTAGCTTGGCTGGTTGGGTCTTTTTCTTTTCTTTTTTGCCTTACACACTACTTCTGTGATGTGACCAGTACCAGATTTATTATTACGATTATTGTGTATATTTACTCTTAAAATAACTTGGGGACTGGGGAAATGTGTTATAATCATAAATATTGATCTATTTTGTATGTTGTAAAAAAAAGTTTGTAATATAGGATCAAGGTGGGTCTTCCTGGCTGTACACTACAAAAAAGTTCTCACCTTCTTACTTACCTTTTTTTTTTTCCTTCCTACGACGATGGAAATTTTGTGCGTTTTTATGTTTTAACAACCAGGCAGCCCCTCATGTTGAGGGCCAGTGCTTGGTTTGAGGAATTCCTTTTTTTTTTTTTCTTCTGGAGGAAAATTAAATCTTGTCCCAGCATAACTGCCTGGGGCGAGAGTTAAATGCACTGTGCATTTGGGGATGGTTATGTTTTTGATTAATTTTTTTAAAGAAAGTTATGTTCCTTGTAATGTTAGCTTCCTGTAAATGATTCCGTTGGGGAGCGACTGTGAAGGGAGTTTCCTAAACTTGAAACAGCAGTGTAATTAAAACTTAATAAAAAGAGACACATTGTGTGTGTGAGAGAGAGAGACTTTTGCATGTTCTGGGCCAAAGCACTGCTTCGTATTGTTCCCTTCTTCCCTCCTTGTCTTCTGTAGGTGTGGTGGTTATTTTATTGCCAGGGTAAGTCATGTTTGGTCTTCATTTACTGACCTCAGAAGCTGGGATTTCATATCGCTGTAGGTGGTGGTATCCTTCCCCCGAAAAGCTCAGGGCAGATTGAGAAAAAAGAAAATCACCATGAAAGCCCCATCAAAAAAGTGAAAATCTCTTAATTTGCTCTCCCAGCCTCTGGTCTTCAGGGCACTCTACCCAGTTTGGTGTGATAACCTGCTGCCCGGCATCACGGTCCGCCCTTCCGCGTTCAGTGGAATCAAAAGCTTTTCCTGGAGTATTGTGCTGCATTGGAGGAGGGGAATGCATGTTTGAACACTACCCTATCTTTTTTTTTATCTCCTTGTACATACAGAACTATTAGTGAGAAAGTTCAGCTCCACTTTCTTTCTGACTCACTCTGTCTGGAGGTATGAATGTGATTGTGCTTATGCATCCTAAAAGTGATAACAGTCTAGCAAAAGAGGGGTTTTTTTTAGCATTTTCACTGAATGTATGGACCTCTTTAACTGGAGGGAAAAGGCTGACAAGTCTATATTTTTTGGAACCTGCTATTGGGAAAAATGCAAACGGAGAACTTCCGGGCTATAGGTTTTCAGCCTTATTTGCCTGATTTTCCTTGATACCCTTGCTCCAATGGATTGGGATCCCAGACCAGCAAAATTAGACAGTGCACTGAAGATGTTTGCTAGCCTCAAAGTACGAAAGGTTGTACACAGGGCTGGCTGCAACACGCTTTGGATGTAAACTCTTGAAGAGTGACTGGAAACACAAATCAGTGCTCTTTGTGTGTGTGCTCATGCGCCACAATTCTGCACAAGCACACAAAATGCTTCTCCTGGGAAAACACTTTTGAAGTAACAAGTCTGTAGAATTCAGCTACTAAAATATGCCGATTTAAAAACACAGAAATGGAGGCTTATATCCTTTGTGTTTATAAAGACATTTTTGGAAATATGTGGAGCAGTGCCTAGTGAAATCACAGACTCCAGAAGCGCATCTGGAATAAGAGATCTGGCAGTCCAGGGCAATTGTTTTTTGTTGCCCTGCAGTTTAACAAAACAGAAGTCCAGTGGCAGGCACCGTGAAGACTAACATTGTATTATTCCAGCATGAGCTATTGTGAGACATAGCTCACTTCTTCAGATTCAGTTCCCATTGTCACAGAAGCTCATACTGGAATAATAAATGTTAAGTCTTTAAGGTGCCACTGGACTTCTGTTTTGTTAAACTGCAGGGCAACAAGGCTACCCTTCTGGGACTCCATACCTTGCCACGACTTGCAGGGAGAAATTATGCAGAGTACAAATAATGCAGATTTGCTCCATAGACAAAATTTAGGGACAGGTTGCAGAACTTAGCATTTCTCAGGATGACATTTAGGTTATCCTGGCTCAGTTCTCTTTATCACAGATCTGTCCAGCCTGGCTCTAAAGTCTTCCGTTTTCAACCAGAGTGTGAAATGGTGCTGGAATGTCCGGCTATTGGGCATCTTGCGGAAGGGTGTGGAGGTGTTCGTGGCCAAGTAGCAAGTTGTCTCCGAGCTTTGCTCGCTGTGCCTTAAGCTCCCAGTGGGTTTTATGATGTCTGTTCAGGTTTTTGTGTCTTGCAAGAATATGTGCATTCTGTATCTTTTGTTAATGCCTTTTTTAAAAAAATTAACTGGAGAAACACTACTGAGAGAATTTCTGTGATTTTGGAAACCAGAATTTGGGGTTTCTTGCACTCTTCCTGGGTTTCAAGTCCACCCTCAAGATAAAAACTGTTCCTTGTACCCTTCATCTTTTGCCTGTCTTTTGTAGGGTTGGGGGGGGGCACTTGGTCAAGTTTATCTGCAAGGGAAGAATTCTAGCATTCTTGCTTCTCATTTGATGGGCAGATAAGTATCCAGTTTGTACGAGTGTTTTTCCCCCGAATGTCATAATGGACTGCATAATTTTTATAAAGTTTTGTCCGTCCGCCCCCCCCCCCCAGTTACATGATGCGGAATGGGGGAGAATAGTCCCCAAGAAATGTTGATTGTGACCTTTGGAGAAATTCTTTGTCGTCCTTCTGTCTTCTTGCCTTTTAAACTGATTGCAGCGCTGTGTGTGCAACTCTCCATTCCGTAAACTGTGAGCGACCACCACAAGCACAGATGGTTTTCCTTAATGCTTTTAGGTCTTCTTTTATGAACGGTGTATGTAATCATTGGGTATTTAAAAAAAACCCAACCCACTGAGCACCTCTCCCTGAAGTCCCCCCCCCCCCAAATCCAGTGCTTGTTTGCAGAGTGCTGTACTGAAAGAGCGAGTGGAACGGGTGTCTGGATGCTCTTCGCTCATCATCTGCTAGAGTGGGGGTCCCCCCAACCTTTGTGAGCCTGCAGGCCTATTTGGAATACAAACACGGCATGGTGGGCGCAGCCACAAAACGACTGCCCACGGCTTGACTTCAGTCACACCGTGCAGTTCCTTGTGTCACGGTGGTGGCAGCTGCGGCCAAAGCCACGTTTTAACAAATCTGCACAGCCAATCAAATCAGCAGTAATCAGTCAGAAGCCCTGCAGGGCAAAAACCCTACTTAGCCCCGCCAACTTCCTAAAAACACTTGAAAAAGTGTGTGGCGGGTGCCGTGGCGCTCACGGGCACCACATCGGGGACCCCTGTGCTAGAGGTCTTTCGCGAAGAGGTGGTGAACTGCACATCACACAGAGAGCCTCCCAATACAGTATAAGTTCTGCCAGCTGAACAGCACTGAGTAGGAG